TACACCCTTTAATCCCATACATTTCCAATTTCAACATTCTCAATTTAATGTCTCATTTCTCTAAATTAATTACACAAATTAATTTATCTATGTAATTAGGGCTTTGTCCATAATCTACATAACAACCCTAAGGTTCCATTTCTTCAATAGACCAACATTTATCTCATTTCTCTATGTCAAACATGCATATAGGTTTATATATGTAAAACCCCCATCTTTTGTAAAATTACACAAAGGCCCAAACTTTCTCGAAATTACCCAACAACCCCCAACATATCAAAATGCTAAAATTCAAAGACAAAGCTTATAAGGAGGAGTAGGATATCCCTACCTCGAAGTTTGAGCTCAAATGGAGATGAAGACCAAAACCCAACGTGCTCCAAATCCCAAGTTTTTTTCAGATTAAAACGAAACACTCAACACCCTCTACCTTTTTAACAAAGGACTTAGGATAGATTCACGCTCTAGCTCGATGAAATCTTAGCGAGAGAACAAGTGTAGAGAGAGTGTGTGTTGGCTGCTAGGGTTTCAAAATAAAGAAGGTGAAAAAAAATAAAGTTGAACTCGCTGTTGCCTACTGATATACAACAGGCTCGTTCGAGCGAAGACTTAGTCGCTCGAGCGACCAGACACAAGGAACCATCGCTCGAGCGAAGAAAGCCTCGCTCGAGCCAAAAACTCGAAGCTTCAGGTTTACAACCCAAAAGCTCGCTCGAGCGACAGAATGCTCACTCGAGCGGAGAACTCGAAAACATACACCTCGCTCGCTCGAGCCAAGAAACACAGCTCTCAGGTCCAGAACCAGACGCAGACTCTCACTCAAGCGAAGAAACTCTGGCTCGAGCCACCAGACACAAAACTCAACTCTCGCTCGAGCGAAGAAACCATGGCTCGAGCGAATGACCAAAATTCTAGGCAGCAACCATTTGCTCCCAAACACAACCAACTTGCAGCAAACCTGCCCAACACATCCTATAACTCAAAAACAGAGTATTGAAAGACGGAAACAAGATATAACCACAGCCAATACTACGGAACCTAAGTCCGGAACACTGTACAACGAAGGGTAAAACCCAGGATCGCTATAATATTCAATATTTTATTTTACTCTTACGAAATCTTTAATTAAACATTTAGGGTTTTTCTCATTTATAATTAAATAATACAAATATCAAATTTAAGGGACAACTTAAATTTTCAGGTTGTCACAAGTACGTCTTGGGGCATGCTATCAGCGCCAAGTTAAATGAACTTTGGGGCTTGCTATCAGCCTTAGGCTAGTAATGCCTTAGGTCTTACTATCAGCGCTAAGCATTAGCCTCTACTTGTAGAGAGGAAGCTTTTCCCAAAGGCTGCTATCACCTTGGCGGGATGTTCCCTCCGCAAGTTGGTTGTGGCGGCTATAGTTGCTGTGGCAGTCATTTCCTATGGCAAGTTCAAAAGACAAGACCGACAATACTAGAGATGGCGGCGTCGACAAAATGCCTCCGCAACTTGGGCACTGCAAGTACTGCCTCTGCAACTTAGTTGTTTTGATTTTCTCCTTCCCTCAGCAACTCCAGATGGCTGTGGTATTGACATTACTTGGAATGGCGGTGGCACTAACGTTACTTGAAATGGCAGCGTTGGGGCGAAGTGCATTTGCAACTTGGTCGTCACAAGTGTTGCCTCTGCAACTTAGTTGCATCGGCTTTTTCTTTCCCTCAGCAACTTCAGACGGCAGTGGAACTGAAGATATTAGGAATGGCGGCGCTGAGCCTCAGTAACTTTTCCGCTACATTTGTTGCCTCTGCGACTTGACCGTTGCATATGTTGCCTCTGTAACTTGACTTAGGCATTTTCCTTCGTGGAGTCCATTTGGACCTTTGGTGGGTCGAACCTGCTTCGGCTCACTGTTGGCCCACTTCCCTTGGGCTTTAGCCCATGCTCCTCCAGTCATTCCTAGTTGCCTTAAAGGGGCGACCCCAGCACTTAGGTCCATACTTAATTTGGGGCTTAATTTCTGACCCTCTACATTTGCCCTATACGTGCGTGGGGGACACGCTCTTTGTTTCTCGCGCGTGCATGACATTAGTAAGTAACCCAAGGGTTGCGTCAGTTGGTTCAGAAGTTGCATTGGCTTTGAAAAGCTACCCCCTTTGACTGACGGGTCATAATGGGCCTAGGGAAGCGTGTTGGTGCCTTTTTGCTGCCTTCTTTATAAATAGCCCCCTTAGGTCCACTGGCCCCCCACTTCTGCCACAACACACTTTCTGTCTCCTTGTCTTCTTCTCTTCCTTGCTTCCACATTCCAAAGTCTTTTTTACTTTTCTTTATTCTTCCTCATGGCCAGCACAAGGTTTCTACCCGACAGGGCTGCCCTACCCCGTACTGAGTGGAGGAGGGCCGTATACTTCGGAAGGCTGGCTAACCCCTTCTGAAAAGTAGTTAACTCCTTCGTTCCTGATGCCCTTTCTCTGGAGAAGCCTCTGCTTCCTTTTGGTGAGGCTACTTTGGATGATGCTGACATGGTGAACCTAGTCTCTATACAGTGGTTTCGCGTGGAGAGTGGCGACTTTTCCTATTCACACATCTACGACCGCACTCATTCGGGCCCTCCAGCAGACTGGTCTCTTTGGGTTGATGACATCATTGCAGATGGTGACTTTGAGCAGTGCTTGAGGAATGCTCTTCTCTTCAATGCCGTTTTGATTTCGAGGGAGTTGTCAGTGTGCAAGGTACATACCAACACTGACATGGTTGTCTTCCGCTAGAGCCGCTACACTCATACCTTTGCCTTGGCATGGGGAGAGATAACTCCAACCCTCAAAGATGTCTCCATCCTTCTGCGCTTGAGTACCCATGGAGATCACCCTTTCGATCCAGCGTCCCTGACTTCTGCAGGACAAGTTGCTGTCACTGCCCTCCAAAGTGCCTTTCAAGAGGCGCGAAAGTATGGCTCCTGGTATGATCTTAAAACTGGAGAACTGCTCTAGGAGTGGCCTAAGAGGAATAAGACCACCTATCTTTCTTGGCTGAAACATTTCTTCAAAGTGCCTTTCATGAGTCTTTCTTCACCGATGAAGTCCTTGCTACAGAGGGTCATCCTATTCTAGATGCAGAAGGTCGACCTGTCACGTGGCAATTGCGCCAATCTCTCTATCGCATCTCTCGGTGGTTTGGTCTTGGCATCAACAGACCCTTTGCAGATTACGTCGACCACATAGAGGAGTGTGTGTTCCGCCATTTTACTCAGCTTCTTCTAAGCATTTCTGTTATCCCATTTTATTTCTTTGAGGCTCATCACGTTGATTTTTCCCTTGACAGCATCTAGGTGAACTCCCTTCTACTGGTTGCCATGATATGCCTCGGGTTTCTGCCCGTATAGAATGAAGAGGGCATGACCAGTGTTGTCTACAGACCGGATAGGGTCCTTAGGCAATTCAGCATGGACCAAGGCATTCCCCATGCCCCTCCACTTCAAGTCGATTTTCACCAGAGCTTCTAGAGGTTTGCCCGCGACTACACCGCCTTACCTATGGAGGGTTTAGGCCTCATGGAATTGCCTTCACTTGGACGAGAAGGTGCATTTACTCCCAGTAACAGCCTATTCTGGCACCGCAACCTCAACTCTTTTTTTAACTTTTGCAACAGTGCTCCCGTTATCCCTGCGATGGAACCCATTCCGCAGCCTAAGTTATCCCTTCATCCCCCCTCCGGTCGAGGGAAACAGACTAGTATATTCTATCGTTTCAAGCTTCTGTCCCTCCTCGTTATGGTGGAGCCTGACCTGTCTGGGGTAATGTCCGTTCAACCTTTGCAAATTGCTCCCCCTCAAGTCAGCACAATAGTACGCATGACCCGCTCCGGACTGAGGGCAACCCAAGAGGCAATGGCATCAGTTGCTGAGGCACGTGCCTTATCAAGTATGAAGAGACTCCGAAAGGAACCCATACTTAGAAAATATTTAGCATTACTTCCTTGGGCTTTTTACATTTACTTTAGTAATCACATAATCTTTTTCCTTTTCAGGGCCCATTGGCCATACCACCTTCGGGCCTCGGAGGTTCTTCTACTGCCATCTGAATTTTCTCATATTTGGATGATGATGACGACCTTCCCATTGCTACAAGGGTCACAAGATTCAAGACCCGCAGGATGGTACTTCCAGATGTTGAAGAAGAACCAAGTGTTGGGACCGCACCAACTACTGAGGCTGAGCCAGTTGCGGAGGCTACAGAAAATGAACAAGTCCCCCCTGCTGTGGAAGTTGCAGTGGGTGGTATAGTTGCTGAGGGTGCAGAGCCTCCAAACCCTGCTGATTCTGTTCACTCCGACCATTCCTCCGTCGATAAAGATGAATTTGCACCACCTCCCATTGGACTGTATCAGGTGGTTATTCCCAGTCCACTAAGTCTCCATTGGTTCAACAAGCCCCACTTCCAAACGTCCAAGTGGTTGAGGGGAGTGCAAGTGCAGCGACTGCTTCCATCGTTCCTACTGTGGTCCCTTTAAATTTGGACCGACTTGCAGAGGTAGCTGTCACCTTAGCCACTTATGTTGTTACTATTGTTGCTGGGACCTCTGACCCAGTTGCTTCGGTATTTTTTGAGCAGCTCGCAGACCTATACCCTACTCACTTTTCGGAAGTGCCAACTGGCCTTGGGGTATCCCAAGATTTTTATACTAGAATGGATACTACTGCTGTACCAGATCTGAACGTTGGAGACTACCAAATGGATAACCTCTTTTCGGAGCGACATGATGGTGCAGGAAGATTTGACCTTTCTCCGGAGGCCAGTTTACCCAATCGCCACCCAACATCTACCCACTCCAATGCTGCTGGGCAATCATTTTCATGGGAAGTGCGTCGCCCTCAGACCTTTGGTCACTCTGCTAGTCTCCCTCCAGTGATCGAAGCTGGCGGCTGTGTGAGAGAGTCTCTTCAGTCCTCAAGGAAAGTTTCTTTTCTAAGTTATTAGGTCTCCTCCGAAGCTGCTCCCACTCTTGCCCACATCTAGTCACTTTCCAGCTTCATTTGTGAAATTGCTACCAAGAAGATTGTAATAACCCCCAGCAAGTTCGTGGAAAGTGTTGAGGCCAACCTGAGTGGCTTTGAGAGGAATGGTTTGGACCTATTGTGGATAAGGGATAGGCTTTAGGCAGTCGATGGTTTCCTTGAGCATACAGACAATGTGGCGATGATTGCGTCCTTGGAGGAGACTATCAAGGAGTGTGAGGGTGCCTTGGAGCAATATCGGCAAAACTTGGCTCGGTTCAAAGAGAAAGACTCTGCACTGGTTGCCCAGCTGCCTAGGGATGTGACCCTGATGGACTCTCTCATGAAGGGTTTGATTTGATTTAGTGTGACTTTGTTATGGCTCATTTTCTTTGTACTTTTGCTATCTTTTTTTTTTTTTTTTTCCTCCTTTGCCTTTTGGACATGTAATCATGCTATGGAAAACTTTGATGTTTATGAAAAGCAAAGATATTGAGTCTTACTTCATTGCATTCTTTTCATTGCCTTTGCATATCTTCTAAGGCTGAACAAAACTCTTGCTATGAACGGGACTCCGCCATGACTAGGTCTTTACAAGGCTAAAATTTCACTAAGTATGGAAAATTTTCCTTGCACTAAGTGTTTACAGGAGTAATAGGATTACTAAGTGTATGACACTTTCTTTAAACTTTGCTTTGGAAGTATTAGCAAAAGAAACTAGCAACTCTCTCTTTTTTTTTTGGACAAAAGAAATTAAAGATAATACTCTTTGATGTTGATAGGGCCAGTTCTAAACCCATCATCTACTCTTGTCAACTTGTAATACCCATTGCTGCTTACCTCATCAACTTTGTAGGGGCCTTCCCATCTGGGTGAGAACTTGGGGATTGGTTGCCCCCGCATGATTGCGTCCATTGTCTTCCATACCAAGTCCACTTCCTTGAACTCCCTGTGTTGAATAGACTGATTGTAGGCGCGAGCTATAGACTAATGATACTTTTCCATTGCCTGCAAGGCCTGATCCCTTCTTTCTTCGGCTGCCTCTATGTCATTCTTTCTACTGTTTGGAACTAAGTGTGCTGACATAACCATTCTTACTAAGGGTATTACCAACTCAACCAGTAACATAGCTTCGGACCCATATACTAGGGAAAATAGGGTTGCCTGAGTTGGCCTCCTCTTTGATGTTCTATATGTCCAGAGTGCTATATGGAGTTGCTCAAACCATGTGCCCCCTGCTTCATCCATCATTTTACTCAATATTTGGATGAGAGTTTTGTTGGTCACCTCAGCTTGTCCAGTCCCTTGGGGGTAGTATGGACTAGACTTGTGGTGTTTCATCTAGTAGGCGTCTAGCAGTCTTCCCACATGACGATTTACAAAGGGAGTTCCATTGTCAGATAACATTACCTTGGGTATGCCAAACCTACAGATTATGTTTTCTTTGATGAAGTTGGCCACACCTGCCCCATCTACTTTCCTCATCAGTATAGCCTCTACCCACTTGGTGCTAACTTCAGTCGATGCAAGTATCCATCTGTGGCCCTTGGATTGATGCGCTATAAGACCCATTAGGTCGAATGCCCAAGTATAAAACGGGTAAGGAGTCTTGATGTTGTGTAGTTCAACCGCCGGTGCATGTATCAAGTTCCCAAATTTCTGGCTGGATTGACATTTTCTCACAAAGTTTTTAGCATCTTCATCCATTGTCAGCCAGTAGTAGTCGAGGTGAATGAGATGTCCATACAATCACTGCCCTCCTTGATGCTTTGTCTTGTGGGCTTCCCTCAGCACCTTATTTGCCTCATCTTTTGATAAACACGCCAAAGGTTCCCCTTCAAAGCTTCTTCGGTACAGTTTGCCTTGGTCAAGGAAGAAGCGGATGGCCCGCCTCTTAGCTCTGATTACATCGACTTTGTTCTCAGGCAGTGTGCCATTTTCAAGGTAGTCAATATATGGCTGCCTCCATTCTTCACTACTTAAGAAATGGGCTTCCTCTTCTTTAGGATGGAACTGACACTTTGCACATTGTCTTTGCAACTCAATACTTTCCTTTTCCATCTATGGCTAGTAATACCCTTGCCTCTGTATTCATCGGTATAGACTGATATCTCCATCTCCATAGGACTTAGCATGGATCTGCTTAAGTTTGTAGGTTGCTTTTTGTCTGCTGACGCACCTTGCCAGGAGGTTGTTGGGACCGTGAAAATACAACTCTCCTTTGAGAAGCAGAAATGATGCAAGTTTTGTTGGTCTGATTGTTCCCTGGCTTGTTGTCAACTGCTGGATTATATCTACTTTCCACCCCTCAGCATCTTGCTCTGTATGTTCTTCGGCTAACACTGCTGGTGTTGTTCTTTTCTCGATGACGATGGCTATACTACCATCTGGTATATCCACCTTTGCCTCCAATATAGCCAAGGCATCAGAAAAACGGTTGTGTGTTCGAGGAGTATGCTGGATTTGGACATCATCAAACTGAGTGAGCAACCTTTGAACTACAGTGCGATATGGGGCCAACAGAGGCTCCCTTAAGACGAAATCACCCATTGTTTGCTTGACAACTAACTTGGAGTTGCCCTAAATTTTCAACTTGCGGAGGCCCTTCTTTTGGGCAGCTATTAGACCCAGTATCAACGCCTCATGTTCAGCCTCATTGTTCGAACATTCAAAGTCAAGCTTATATAATAAATGAAATTTCTCTCCTTCTTGATTGGTTAGTGTTATGCCAACTCCACCTTTCTCAGCTCCGGAAGCTCCATCAAATTTTAAGTCCCAATAAGTCTCAACTGCAGCTGCTGAGATATGAACCTCACCTGGTAGAGGTACCTCTACAGGTTCATGTTCACCAGATTGGAATTGGGCTAGTAAGTCTGCAAGTGCTTGGCTCTTAATAGCATTGGGATTAACACAAGTGATGTCATATTCTGTTAGAGCCAAAAGCCATTTTTCCATTCTTCCAGTCAGAGCGAGCTTGCTCAGCAAGTAGTGGACTAGATCACTCTGGGTCACAACCTAGATCCGGTGTGCCAAAAAATAGTGGCGCAACTTTTGCGCTGTGAAGATTAAGGCTAAACAATGCCTCTCAATTGGGATATATCGCGACTCAGCACCATTGACTTTGTGACTGATGTAAAAGACTGGCTTCTCAATGCCATCTATGCCTTGGATAAGTAAAGCTCCAATACACCGAGGTGTAGAGGTCAGGTATAGTAGCAGAGGCTTTTCGAGTTGTGGGGAGTGGAGACATAAGTGCTTTCTTTACCATATCAAAATCCTGTTGGTATTCTTGCAACCATTCAAACTTGTGATTCCTTTTCAACTGTGTCCCAAAGGAAAAGGTTATCTCAACAAGGGCTGGAATGAACCTCCTGAGGTATGACACTTTGCCTAAGAATTTCTTCAAGGCCTTTTGAGAGTGTGGCAGTGACATCTCCATGATTGACTTGATCTTATCCCCATCTACTTCGATCCCCCGCTAGTGTACAAGAAAGCCAAGGAACTTGCCGGCGGAAACTCCGAAGGCACACTTGAGAGGGTTTATCTTTAGGCAGAATTTATGTCAACGCTGAAATCTTTTTCCAAGTAGCAGAGGTGTCGGTTTGCCTCAGTAGACTTGACCACTAGATCATCCACATATACTTTCACTTCATGATGCAACAAGTCATGGAACATTGCAGTCATAGCCCGTTGGTATGTTGCCCCGCATTTTTCAAATAGAAGGGCATCACCATATAGAAAAAATTTTCCAAGGGCGTTTTGAAAGCCATCTTGTCTGCATCTTTTGGTGCCATTTTGATCTGGTTATAACCACTGAACCCATCCATGAAGGAGAGCATCTGATGACCCACAGTAGAATTGACAAGTGTGTTAACATGGGGTAATGGCAATTCATCTTTTGGGTAGGCCTTATTCAGGTCGCGAAAGTCTACGCAGACCCTAATCTGGTCGTTCTTCTTCTTCACAGACACAATATTTGCTAGCCAAGTTGGACACTGTATAGGCTCAACGAACTTGGCCCTCTGTAACTTTTCTACCTCTGCCTTAATCTTGCTTCAAGATCAGGGTGATACTTTCGAGCATGCTGCTTAATTGGCTTAGAGTTGGGGAAAGTGTCCAGATAATAAGTGACAAGGGATGGATCAAGACCAGGCATCTCGTCGTATGTTCAAGCAAAGACATCACTATACCGTTTCAGTAATGTTATCAATTCTGCCTTAGCTGCTAGAGCTATTGTATCGCTGATAAACACAGGCTTGCTCTGCCCTGGTAAGTCGTTGAGGTTGACCTCAGCAAGTACTTCCTGCTACGGTTTGGGTCTATCTTGCATGCATTCAGGAGCGGGCTTAGGCGTCTCCACCAACCTTTCTTGGGACTCATCACTGTCACATTTATTTGTCTCAGGGCCATCCTCCCGAGGTATGAAGTCTGGTCCCCAAGACTGTCATAAGTAGTAAACTGCCTTGCCGCCCTCGTGCACCTTAAAAATATTGGGCAGAGGACTTGTGGATTTGCTGCTCCTTTTCTGCCCACTACTTTCTAGAGTAGCCTCTATATCCTGAATGTCTTCCCACTTCGGTAATTTTACCCCTGCAACTTTATCAGTAAAGAAAACTATATCCGAATAGTGTGCCTCCTCCACTCCGAATGGCTTTTTCAGACACATTTATGGTTACTGTGCGTTTTCCCAACTTTGCCTTCACACATTAGTGATAACTTGACAGGATAGCCCCATATCAGTGCATCCAAGCTCTGCCAAGTATCATATAGTAATTTGTATCCATTTCAATCACATGAAACTTAGTTGCGTAACGAATCTCACCAACTGCTAAGTCCACGACAACATGGCCCTTAGTAACTTTTTTCTCACCACCAAAACCCGTCACGGTGATAGCTTGGTGAATCATCCTGGACTTTGGGATACCAGCCTTTGCAAAGGTGTCAGTAGTGATAATGTGTATGGACGCCCTACCATCGAGGAAAGCACACTTGAACTCTACATCATTGATGTAAACTGTGACAAAAAAGGACAGTTATTGTAATATCATTGTTCTGTAGTATGCTATTTGTATCCATTTCAATCACATGAAACTTAGTTGCGTAACGAATCTCACCAACTGCTAAGTCCACGACAACATGGCCCTTAGTAACTTTTTTCTCACCACCAAAACCCGTCACGGTGATAGCTTGGTGAATCATCCTGGACTTTGGGATACCAGCCTTTGCAAAGGTGTCAGTAGTGATAATGTGTATGGACGCCCCACCATCGAGGAAAGCACACTTGAACTCAACATTATTGATGTAAACTGTGACAAAAAAGGATAGTTATTGTAATATCCTTGTTCTGTAGTATGCTAACTGGTCCTTAACATGAATATGATTATGCATTTGACATGATTTTGTGTGCCATTATGTGAAAATATGTGGTTTTGAATTTCTATCTGTTCACCGTAGGAATATCTGTTTGATTATCTGCTTTGGAAATTAAATTGAAGGCCTTATCGGCCACGGAACCCGAAATTAACTACGCCTTTATGATTGACATAATTTTTAGAGCTTACGGTGAAATTTAATTGGAATTTGGTTCGGATCAGATTAAATTGATTAAAATAATGACTTAGTGCTCAAATCATTTAATCTTAAAATAAAAATGACTAAGGAAGCTTCTTATTAAGGGCATTATACACCCAATTTTCCTTCTTGGTATTCATTTGGCTAATTTAATTTTAAGAAGAGAGGGGGAGGTTCAGCTAGAGAGAAAGAGTGTAAGAGATTGAAGTTTGATCATTGAAGCTTGAATAGTTTGAAGACCAACTCAAGATTTGACCATAGTTTGGGAAGATTAAAGCCTCTAGGTAAGTGAGTTCCCGAACTTTAATTTGTAATTTTGTGAGTTCAAGTTTGATTAATGGTCAAGAACATGAATTTAATTGAGTTTGATGAAATTGGGTTGGTTTTGTTGAATTGAAGGTCAATGTATGCATGCATGTGTGTAATTGCTTTGAATTTGTATAATTAAGCATGAAAGGTGTGATCCATGTAAGATTTCGGTTAGACTTCACGCTTGTGATCACCATTTGCACCATTTGAGTTGGTAATGAGAGTCATATCTCACATGCTCTGGAGTTTGAGCTAAAATATGTGGAGTTTGAGCTAAAATCATGCATCTAGAACCTTTGAATGTCGAATTGAAGCTCAAGAACAAGTTCTGGATTTTCTAGAATTTTGATTCTCGCTCGAGCGGGGAAACCGCCGCTCGAGCGTGAAATTCATGTTCCCAGTATTTTCTGCAGACATGGTGTCCGCTCGAGTGGGGAAGTTCACGCTCGAGCGGGGAGCTCTGTAGAGAGGCCTTCCACTCGAGCGCCAGAGTTCGCGATCGAGTGTAAATTTGACATATACAGTACTTTTGCAGGTCTCAAGGGTCCATTCGAGCGGGGAAGCCCACGCTCGAGCGGGGACCCTATTTTTTGAAATTTTGAAAAGACATTCTGTGTTTTATTTTCTGTTCTCTTTCACTTCCAAGTACTCTTAGGCATGCATTGAGCATTGTAATTGAGTTAAAGAGATAAGAATCAAGCCTAAAGAGGAAAATGTGAATTTAGAACAGATTGAATTGTTTGTGACCCTTTTGTGTTCATGGAATGTGTATGGTCGAGCTCCAGGGCAAACCAACCAACCAATCACTGTGAGTAATATCAATATTT